TTGGTCTTCTTTTTTTTTTTTTTTTTTGACAAAAAGAAGGAAATTGCTACAAGTGCACAGTGTATGATGGGCTGTGAGAATCTGTTCAGTTCAGTTGTGCTGTATATTTTTTTAATCTTGCTTTTAGTTCTTGCCCTTGCCCTCCATTGCATTGTGTGCCCTTCTAAGGGAGCTGACATGAAGAAGGCAGAGATGGGCAAAAAAGCTCAGAAGGGGTTTCAGATTTGGGCTAAAACCAAATTTGGTGAGGGTTTTGTTGTTCTGGACCAAAGCAGGTGAGAGGAAGAGAGCAGCAGACAAATGATGGACTTGGAACAACATCTAAAAGACTTTGAGTCACCTTAAAGACAAAAAACAGTGAGAGGGAAGGCAAGTTCTTGTCTTGGGTCATTGAACATGAGCAGGAAATGAACAGTTAAGTCTTCCTAGATCCTCTTTGGGGTTTTAGGATGTGAAGGAGGATTTGTTTGGTTTGCTCGTGGGGTGTTGTTGTTATTGTTTTCTGGGTTTGTTTTGTTGTTTTTGTTTTGTTGTTTTTTAGGCAGCAGAATTACATTGCACTTGGATCTTAGTTTTCTTCCAGGCTGATTTAATGCCAAAGATAGCAGAGAAGGATAGAGAGACCAAATGTTCCCGTGCAGCAGCATGGTGCTTGTCTTCCTGGCCATTCTCCATGCATTTCTTTGAAACATCTTCTCTTGGGATTCCAGTATGCTGGAAAATAAAATGCTACTTAATAGATAGTACAGAAGTACAATCATTGGCCTCACCAGCAACGCCTAAAAAGCCAAAAAGATGTTCCTGGCTCTTGTAGACCAGAAAAGTGAGATTTAAACTGAGCTTATCCCTCCCCACAGACATGTACAGGAGGAAGCCTCACCACCTGACTGCAGAGGATGGATTAGCAGCTCTTCAGAATGAGTTGCAGAAGTGCAATGTTTATAGCAGTCTCACTTAGACACCTGCAGTTTACACTGAATATCAGAAAAGACTGGTTTTCAGCCAGGAGTCATCACCCAGTTTTTTAGCTCAGCACTAACCCCCTAAAACCCCCAGGTATATTGCAGGTGTGAAAGAGGAGGGGGGACCTGGTCTCTCTGCAGGCCACTGTTTATCTCCAGAATGGCTAAGGTGGTACTTTGAGCCAGCCAAAATTGCAAGGTATTTAAAGGGGAAATTAAGACAAAAAAATCTTCGCAAGGCACAGGGTGGTTTTCACTTCATCAGTGGTATGTTTGATCAGTATGGAATTTTACTAATAGGATTATTTTTCCTAGGCATGTGCTGAGATCTTTTTCTGAACCTTACCAGGGTATCTGTTGGGGAACAAATCTGGCCATAGGTTTGAATGGTGATGGAGTATTCTGGGCAGGTGTAACTATTTTGGTATGTTCTCAGTGCTGGGTGCTCTAAAAATTAGTATTTCAATACATAAGCTATGAAGTAAAGGGGGAAATGAATCATTAGAATTTAGGATAAACACTGTTTATCTTTATTTATCTTATGAATGTTTGTGACGGCAGTTTATGTAATACTTTTTCTATAATTATCTGTGTTGTTACTCTGTCAGAGCGATAAAGGATTCACTTGCATGTGCACGTTGTTTGCCAGTGATATTTTCTAAGTGAAGAGCTTGGCGTCAGTGAGAAGTGTCTGCTATCCCAGGGCTTTGACCCACCCAGCTTTTCACCCCCGTTTTGGGTGACTTTGCAGGTGTTAAGCAGGATTTCACTGAAGCAGGAGGGTCTGACTACCAAAGATATCGCTCTCAGAGCTGTTTTAGTTACACTTCATCATCATAAGCATATGGTTTCACTTCCAAGTGTTTAACATTTCCATTTCCTCAGGAAATCATTCCCTCTATTTTTTAAACTTTTGAAGCTGGATGGATATTTTTGCTGGCAGGCGGAGCGAGAGCGACACAGCCACGAGCCCCAGCGAGCCCCTGGCCCTCCTGCTCTCCCTGCTTGCCCTCCTGCAGCAGCTCCTGAGCACGGCTCGGGGGGCTTCAGCCAGGTCCCTGGGGAGCAGCACGCTGTTCAAACACTCCTGCTCTCCTTACTGTAGCAAAACTATCCACTCCTTTCCTCAGCTTTAGCTGGGAGGGATGTTTTTCTTTCTCAGTCCACCCCGGGCCCATGCATCCCGAGAATTAGTTGAGCACAGACTCCTTTAGCTGACTTCAGCGAGGCCAACGGCAAGATCGGGGCCTAAGAAAATAGTGTGTGTCACCTACAAGGAATGAAAGCATTTTCCTGCTGTATTTATTGTCTGTGGTGGTATATCCAGCAGTTCCATGTGTATGACGGAGTGATGGCTCCAGGGAGCTGCTCTGGCTGTTGTGTTTTCAGAGATTATTTCTGGTATTTCCTTTTTCCTCGTTACGAGCGGGTCGCCCTTCTCACGTGTTGGCCAAGCTCTGTGCCACAGGAGGAGGTCTGTGCTCACGTCTTCTTTGTGGTGCATTTATCCACACGTCACAGTGTGTAGCTGCTGGTTTTCTTTTCCTGCTGTGCTATGAAGTACAGCTGTGGGTGTGCAATCTGCACGCTGATTTAGCTGGTATCACTGGCCCTGTTGTGAGAGGATCATCCTCTGCTGCACTGAGTGTCACCATTCCATAACAACTTTGATGAACTAACTGCATTTTGTACAACAAGCGTTGTCACCGTGTATCAAATAGTGCTGTGCAAGAGAAAATATAGAGCAAGGCAGCTGATTAAAGTGTTTGTTCCTTTCTGGTTTATTCCTGTTACAAGTACAGACAGTCACAGTCTTTGCACTGCTTGCTTAGCGTGGGGAACCTTGCTGTGGGCTGGGGCTGCAGGAGGGATTGGGTGCTCATATGTTTTATTCTTCCCCTCTCAAGAGTGAGTCAAGGTAGCAGAAAGCATCATCAGACAGACATAATTAAACCTCCAGACTTCCCAGGAAACCTCACCTGAGCTGCTCAGCCTCTGGCGTCGTGCTGGCCTCTGGGGCATCGTGAGCTGCTGGTTGGATCTGCTGACTCTTCCCTGGCTGCTCCGCTCACCTTGGCACTGCGGGTGTCTGCACACCCCTTCAGCAGTCACCTTCTCACCAGGAATGCTACTCAGTCAAGCAGCACGAGCTTGTCCCGCTCCCAAGGACGCCCCCAAGGCTCCTCCATGTCCCAGGGAGCCCACTGGCTTCCTTGCCACGTGGATCTGTGCCACGATGTTCCGAGCTGAAGGCTCCAGCTCGTGCAAACAAACCAGTGCCACAGGGTTGCTGCTGATAGTTAGACAGACTGGAGGTCAAGGTAGGGCCTACACTGATTTCGATCCAGTTTTCCTTGGGAAAGAGCATCAAAGCATTGCAGTCTTCTGGAGAGATTGAGTGATGTCCTGATCCAGAACGGACTGGCAATGCCAGCGACAAAAATGATGTTGTCCCAAATTCCTTCAGAAGACCAGACAAGAGCAGGACCACCCTGAATTAAAAGCACAGCTCAGCTGGTCCCAACCCATGCCTCCAGTGACCACCCTGTAAGTGCTTCAGGGGCCAGCTCCTGAGGTGCAGCCCCACTTGCACAGGGGTGCAGCACTGGGCAGGCTCCCTCCTTCCTCTTACAAGAGGAGGCCTTGGGTGCTCCTGCCCTCCTGGCCCTCAGCTGCAGGGCAGCAAGTCCAACACCTCACACAGCATTCTGTGATCAGTTCAGATGTCCTCACAGGGTGGTGAGGCCCTGCACCAGGTTGCCCAGGGAAGCTGTTGATTGCCCAACCCTGCAAGTGTTCCAGTCCAGGTTAGATGGGGCTCCAAGCAACCTGGTCTAGTGGAAGATGTTGCTGCCCATGGCAAGGGTATGGAACTAGGTGATCTTTTAGGATCCCTTCCAACCCAAACCATTCCATCCCTGCAGTGCACAGAGCTGAAGGGCAGGGGGGAGCAAAGCAAAAGGGGAATAAAAGACATTGCAGGAGCCACTCCAGGCCCGAGAGAGAAGTAACCACGGCACTGACAACTTGTGTGGGTTTGGTATGTCTGTTTGCAGGGCTGTGTTATGTGTTTAGAAGCTGGTTGTTTCCATAATAACAGCAAGTGCCATATGGCAGCGAGGAGGGTGGTGAGAAGAACGCCTAAGGAAACACAGTATGTTGTTTGACATGTGTGTACTTCTAGAGGAATAACGTGTCTCAAGCAGGCATTGCTGTTCCAAGCAGGCTGGGGGATTTTCTGCTCTCACCAGAAAAATATCCCAAGCCCTTGGCATTTGTGCTGGTGCAGTGCCAGTTGATGACGCCTGCCCTTCGCCCTTGTTTTCCCACAGCTAGTCCTTGTGATGGCTAAAGGACCTTTTGCTTTACTGCAGGTGGTGGTTCTGGATGCACCAGCGCAGGGGAGTGGCATTTAAACATGGAGTTTAAGGGGAAATGCAGTTCTATAAGGAGTGCTGTGTGAAACTGAAACCAGCCAGATGCCATATGCTCCATCCATTCCTTAATGCTCAGCAAGTAAATAGCAGAAATTTTGAAACCTCTGAAAATGCACAGTTTGTACTGTAATTGCTTAGTAGAGAGTGAGCTGAGCGTTTCCAGAGATTAGAGGCACTTTAGTGCGTATCTAGAAAGCATCCAGGAAAGTCTCCACGAATTACAAATTTTCCTGCCCTTTAATGTATGACTCACTTTTCAAGGTCTTGTAATTTGCTCCCCGCATTCTCACAAACACCACCAGTGCCTTTGAATACATTTCCACCGCAGAAAAATACGGAATTATTTTTTCATAAGAGCTGAATGGCTTTTGCCTTTTGCCAAAACGAGTTCTACAAAATTCAGCCCCTCTTATTTGAGCCTTAAAGCCATTAATTATGTTTGTGTGTGGATACCTGAAATGTGGTGGCGGGGAGAAAGGATGTTGTTGGGATTTGAGGTCATAGTTCTGCACTCATTTGCAATTCTCTAGACTCCTGAACAATCCAGAAGACAAAGCTCTTCTCATTTTCATGCTTCTCTTCTTCTCTTCCTCACCTCTAGAGAGAGATTACTGCAGCATTTGTGAAAAGCAGCCGATCGGGAGGCTTCTCTTTCGGCAGTTCTGTGAAACCCGACCCGAGCTCGAGTGCTGCATTCGGTTCCTTGACTCAGTGGTAAGTCAATTCTTGGGATATTTTGGGGGGGTTCCCAATGCTCTCCTGACAGAGGAGACTCCTCTGTCCCCTGGGAATCGCTGTTTCATGGGGTGGGAGGGCTGGCCCCCTCAGCAGCCCAGCATCACTGGCGGTAGAGGGGCAGTGCTGCACGCGGGGTTGGTGCCAGCCTTGAGGGACACCAGAGGGGGGTAAGGACAGCCACCCCCCCAGTGCTGGTGTGGCCTCCCTTCATGTCAACTCCTGAGCAGCTGAGCTGCTGAGAGTAATGTCTTCTGATGTGGGTGAAGCCTGAAGTGCTGGGAAGCACTGGGAGGAAAGGGAAGGAGATGAATGGGCTGACAGGAGAGGATGAAGAATGTGATAATGCCAATATCTCCTACCAAGACTTTTCATCTGTAGACTTCAGGGTGATTTACAGAGGATATCCTGAAAATTACCCTTTTTTTTTCAAATAGGAGAGCAGAGGCACAAGGTATAGAAGTGACTTGTTTGAGGTCACTAGGAAACAAATCTCCCCTTTCCATCTCAGTGAGCCACTGAGCAACACCCCCCCAGCCCCGGGGGGACCTGATGCTCTTTCCCAGTCTGGCAGCACTTGGCCATGTGCACTGCCAGCTGTTCACAGTGGAAAAGTCTCTCAGTGACTTTCTTGCTGGGAACCTGTGAAAGGGGAGGGTGTTGATCAGCCAGAAGGCTAAATCAGAGCAGAGAGGAAGATGAAACTTGTCACTGCTGAGTGTGAGTGTCCATGGGGCTTCACTCCCTGGCTAACACTGACAGGCAACAGCAAAACAATGCATACCAACAGGAATAAAAGTGGTTTTGTACTGTGATGAAGGTATTCTGAAGTATAGGGAGATGTGAGGATTGCACTTAAGTTATAGAAGTAACAATCTGTAAGGGGACATGTGGTGTCTTAAGGTTTATGTCATTACTGCAGTAACTACAGCAAATCCACAGCATCACAGAAAGTGTTGGGTAAAGTCCTGTTCAAATTAGGTTTTTAGCCAGTCATGGCTTTTACCTGTTATTCCTAGCACTGGCTGTGGTTTTCTCCAGTGAAAGGTGCAGCCATCAAGGTGCACAAAGCATCTGACAGAATGCTCTGTGCAGCTGTGCTCAAGGCCAGCAGGCAGCAGGATGCTTCAGGTACCCTGGGTGTGTTTGTCCCGCACCCACCCAGCACGAAGCACCACACACACCCCCATCTCGGGGAAGGCACCCCCCAGAAATGCCACATTAGGTGTAACAGCTGCAGCCCCGAGGAGGTGGGTGATGGCCATCCCTCTAGGAAGCTGCAGAAATCCTTCTGCAGACAGCCACAAAAGGCTGCTCGTTAAGTGGTTCCAATTGCAGACAGAAGCGACGGTGTCGCCCACGGTTTGGGCAGGGCTGGCAGGGCCCCGCTCGCTTCTCACGCCTCCTCACAGCAGCAGGCGTCACATTTGGGTCCCAGCAGCGCCCAGGGGCTGCAGAGAACAAGCCCCTGTTGTGTGAGCCCTGCATACACACTCAGGGCATCCCACTGATCAATCAATAACATCTGGGCGCAAGGAAAGGTCTCTGTGCCCCCCGGTGCCACCGGAGCTCCGTGTGACACCCTCGGCACTGCCCGGAGCATTTCCCGCCTGTCCCCGTCACACCAGCCGGCTGCCCAGCCACCCTCCAGCTCTGGGCATTGAGGGCACTGGGTCATTCCAGCCTCCCAAAGCCCTGTGGAGCACTGACAAGCACTGAAACACCCCATCCTCTCCTCATCTGTGCAGCACAGGCTGCGCTGGTCCTGCAAAGGCTTGTGGTGGGACTGGATTTGTTTTAAAGGCTCATCTCCAAGCAAACCCAGACTGATATTCCCAAATCCTTTCGAAAGAGGTGCTTTGCACCCACCCCCGTGTTGCTTTTTCCTACTGGAGCTGCCCTGTATACCTTTACTGGGCTGGTGGTCTGTTCCCAGTTAGGCTCAGACTGGCAGGAGGATTTTGAGGATTTGATGAACAAAATGCCTGGCTGTGTGGAGGTCTGAATATTTATCTTTCTCTCTTCTTTTTAACACTAATTAAGAGCAGTCTCCTTTGTTTATTGATTTCGGATTCTGTACGGGCTTGCTCCCAGCCCATGAAAATCCCTGCATCAGGCAGTATTAAGGTCAAACAACACAGCCCATGGCCATTAAATTGGATGAGTGCTACTGAAATTTGCCCAGCAGGGTCACACTGTGTTGAGTGAGGAGTGGGATTCAGGCCAAGCCCTACGTTAGCCAAAAAAGTCCTGTAATGAGACCAGAAGTCTGACTTTACAGCCCTGTTCTGGGACCACCAGGAACGTGAAACCTTTTGGAGACCACCTGCTGTAAGAAGCCCCAAGCAGGAAAAACCAAGAGCCCTAATTTTCTTTTGTCTTAGTTGTTTTTCTAACATGAGAAGCAGAACTTAGCTTTTGTGTAATATCAAATAAAAATAAAAAATAAGAGAGGATAATATTTAGCTGTTCATGAGAGACTCACAGAGCTTTTTGCACATGGAGAGGCAGGACCACCTCTCTTTTTCAGAGCCCATCTAAGTGACTTTACCACACAGTAAGTCATTGGCAAAAGCCAGTAACTGATGCCTCCTAATCTTTAATAAATTTATTTTTTTAACCCATGCATTCAACTGCCTGCAAAGAAAGCAATGATCAGGACTTATGGGAGGGAACCAGAAAGTGAGTCAGACACTCAACAACCCACCAACATCCTTATGCAAGACTAAGTTTTGCAAGCTCTCCTACACCTGAGCTTCCAAAGGCTGGTAAAATCAACCAGACCTTGCAGACCAGAATCTGTAAAGAGACCAAAAAAAAGAAAATCTCTCTTGGCTGGACATTTATGTCAGCTGTTGTGTGAAATAACTAACCTGGTCTGATGTAGTTTCCTGAAAATCTAATTGTGGCAGCATCTGGGGGTTTTTGTCTGCGCTGTACAACAGTTGTTAGGCTGCTTTCTGAAGAAAAAGAATTTGTGTCATTCAGTTCTTTGTGCATGTGGGTGTGTGGCTGTCAGTTCCCCCTGAAACCTGTGAATACCTGGGCCGACTTCAACCAGTAACTGAGATTAAAGTGCTCAAATGCACAAATTTTCTACATGCTTTCTGAGAAAAGTGTTTGAGTCACAACCAATTGTGGCAGAGACTGCAACGATATGTGGTCTGTGAGCAGCAGGCCCCAGCATTAGGTGATAAGAGATCAAAACTGCTGCTTTGCAGCACTGCCCTGGTGGGGCTGTGGGTGTTTGCCTCCCCTCACTGCTGTGGCACCAGTCAGTGGCCATCAGTGTCTGTCTGGGAAATGGGGCAACAGCAGCCCCTTGTAGCTGGCACAGTGAGGCTGTGAGGACAGAGAGCCACCTACCTCGTGACAGAGGTCCTGATTGACAAGATAAAGTAATGAGTAAGAAGTGGCTGCAGCTCGTGCCTCTAAACTCATCTGCGTGCCTGTAACCACAAAGGTCCCATGGAGAGCTCACCAAACCCTCATGGAGCCATTCAGATGAAGGAACTGGGTGAGCATAAACTACCAGCATTAAACAGAGGTGGTTTATGATTAATTCAGCTCCTCTGTAAGCCCTTCACAAAGAATTCACGCACAGCCCCAAAGCACGCTCTGCTCTGCTAACAAATATTTTAGCGACATCGTACAATTTTGGAGCTGTTGAAAGACAGCCATTAAAAGAAAGTGTGAGTGGATATGTTTCCTGTGCTGAAAGACAGATCAGTGAGCAGGCAATGTGCTAGCAAGACATGTTTCCTTCTCTACAGCTGGTGCTTCCAGGACAAGAAAGCAGCAGTTCAGTTCAGCAAGGACTTCTTGCTCCTGTCCCCTCCTCAACAGCACATTCCCAAGGTGCCAGCTCCTGACGTTTCCCTCTCCTCTCCTGTGATTTTTATGTGCCATTATAATGAAGACTTTAGCTTCTGGACTCCCTTTCCTGCTTCATCTACTCACATGCATAATTTATTTATTTTTTTTTCCAGGGGAGGGCTTTTAACATTTTAATGGGGACCAGATTTAGATTGACCGGAGGAGAACGGGGCCAATTTTGGTCAAGGAGAAAATAACCTGACATTGTTTTCTGTCTGACCTGACCAGTGTTAATTCTTTGCACTGAAGTCACACAGAAACACGTCCTCAGGAGGAAAATGGCCCCTGCTCCTGCTGTCTGGGCTCAGGGGCTGGGGTGAGAGGCACATCTCCCCGGGTGGACTTTGCAGCTGAACGCTCCGCTAGACATTGCACTTATCTGGGGTAAAAGGATGAGTGAGCATCCATTTAATGCCATTTATAAAAGCCCTGTCTTGCTGTTAGGGAGGTTTCGTTTGGTTTAGTCCCTTGCATGGTGTATAAACCATCTGTGTATGTGTGTCTTAAAGCTGCTCAAGGCTTTTTCCATCAGAAATGCCAGTTTGTTGATATCAACAAACTCATTAACTCCAAAAGTGTTTTTAAACAGTCAAAAGGGCTCTTTTTGCCCAGCCTTTAAACATGAAAAATGTGGTTTCAAGTTCACTTTTCATTTAGAAATGCAAGTTATTATGAATCCCAGCTGCCTGGGGTTTGCCTTCCAAGTTTTAGTCACAGGTTTTAAATCTGCAGTGGAGGCAAGTGCAAGGATGGCCACTGAGGACAGAGCAATAACAGGGAACGAGCAGGAGAGGATCAGAGAGAGATTCTGGGGATGACAGAGGAGGGAACTGAGAAAGTGGAGGTGTAAAATTGGAACTGAAATGCCAGGAGCCTCCTGTAGGTGCTCAGAAGGTGATTCCACTGCTCCTGACTTGACCAAGAAGCCAAAACTGCTCTGGTGGGAATATCTGTTCCCATTTCCATCTCCTGGTGGGTTCAAGGGACAACTCCTCTGGCTACACCACCCTGCTGCAGGCAACCTGCTGTGGGAGAGTGTCCTCCCAGATCTGCAGAGACATCTTTTTGGCTCTGCTTGTCAATTTTCACCTATTTTTAAGCCATACAGTTTCCAGATCTCAAATTATATCAAGATGAAAATCAAATATGAGATAGACTGATGTGTCAGCATTAAAGCTGCTGATGTGAGTGCCTGTGGGGTCCCTGTGCTGTTGCCCTGGAAGTTCTCCAGCCATCACAGGCAGCCTCCAAACCTCCTGCTCAGCTGTCCCTGAGCCCATAGCCCCACCCCACAGCCATTCACAGGCTAGATGTTTCTCCCTTCCCCAGCTGAACTGCATTTTCCCATCCAATCCCACTGAGCCCATCCCAAGAGCAGCTGCTCCAAAGGGAAGGAGGCCTCACACCCTGATACCCCCATTCAGCTTCTAGGGAGGAAGGAGCCACCAAAGTAAGTACTGCCTCAAAAAAAAACAGCAGCCAAAGGAAAAGTTAGCAGCCAAGAGCAGCCAGCCCACATCCTCTGGCCATTTGGGCTGAAGGATCTGCTTCTGCCCACAGAAAGAGCCTTCCCTGCAGCTCGTCCCATGGAGTCAGGGGGATCGTAAATCCTCCTCTCGTTTATGAGCTATGAATGGGGCCCTGTCTGACCTAACTAGGGCATGGAGAAGCTATTAGACTTCAGAGCAGGAGCCTTGAAACACATGCCTGGATTCATCAAAGGAATAATGGAAAATATTTTGTTCCATGTGGATTTGAAGTAACGATGTTATTTCTAGCAATTAGGGATTTGCAAACTGTAGCTGTGCTTTTGAGCATTGGGGAAGAAAGGGATGCTTAAATCTTGTGATTTAAGCACAGGACTCCAAGTTGAGGACCTTGATGGCTTCCCAGAGAAGTGGCAAAGGGAGCATGGGGACATCCCTGTCTGTCTCCTGCAATAAGAGTTGATGGCAGAAAATATAGCAGTATCTGTTGCTGAGTAGCTTGAAAGTGGCATTGAAGGGAGAAATAATAATGAAGTTAGAAACAAAATGAAACAGGGTTCTAGTACAGAACTGCAGTGAGATCAACACTGCTCACAGTTGGAGCTTATGGTTCCTTCTCACATCCTCACTTGTCTGTCACTTCCCACCTTCACCACCACCGTGTCACATTTTCTGGGAATGTCAAATGCAAGTATAATTAAACTTTCCTTTTCTTCCTCCCTAACTATCTTGAGACAGAATGACACACTCTGTATGTGTGTGTGTGTGTGTGCATTTAGCTCTGCATATGTTGTATCCCATCAGGAACTGTATTGCAAAACACTGATCCAATCCCTGCAGAACTCCTGTCTTCTGAACTGTCCTGGTTTGATTCCTGTTGTACAGTTTGGGTGGGGTGTAACTGTTGCAGGTTAACTGTGGCAAAAAGGATATCAAATTTTTTTTTACATCTCGCTGGTGCATTTCAAATAGCAGATGATGACTTATAATCAGGTTTTATTTGTTAGGAAGCCAGTGTGTTACCAAGATCCAGAGTTTAAAACCAAATGAAGGAGAGGGAAATTGTCATTCTTGGATAAATTGCAAATAGAATTGAGTGGAGGACTCAGAAGATCTCCTAGATGCTTCCATGCTGAGGCGATGCCAAGGAGTTTTCCTTTCTTTGCAGTCTTCTGCACAGACAGCTATGTTTAAGCACAAATGTTTTCTTTCACTGAAATGCATTATTTCTGTTTTCTTTGATATGAAAAACACCTGGTTTGTCTGTGAACCTAACCATAAACTGTAAGGTCCAAATAAGAGGCAACTTTCAGCTTTAAAAAATCTATTCTTTTGTTTCACTTGCCATTCCTGTATCCCCTAGCAAGGAATCATGGAAGAAAATACTGTTAAGATGCTGTAAACATTTGAGAGTGTCTGTGCTTGAAGAGCTGAAATGACCCATACTCAGATATCATCTAAAAGGACAGGAAATAGGATGAAAGATCTTTTTAAACCTTACATTAGGTTTTATGAGTACATAAACAGCCTCATCCCCAAAATGGTCACTAAAAGAGAAGTACTGTACTTGTGGGTTTAAGTTTTGGTGTATTTTTGTCCTTTATTTGTGGTCATTGTCATTTCCCAGACAAAATCAGATCATAATTCCAGACTGTTCAAGCAACCTGCTCTGTGTGTGTGTAAATGTGCAGCTTCAGACTTGGGCTGCAATAGCCAACCGAGCACTGGCTGGATAGATGGGGAACAGCGTTATTACTACATTGTGGTTTCCATGTCATTCCTAGGTTTGCTTAGCTGGGGTATCCATTACAGCCTGCCTTCAGATTTATTGCATCCAGCTCGGAGCAGTACATACATCTTCCAGTGGGCAAGAGTTCTGAAATTTGTTCTTCCAAGTGTTTGCCAGTTCAGTCTGATTTACCTTCTTCTTCTTTCTTTTTCTTTTTTTTTAACTTCCTCCTCATTTATCACTGCAGACAGCTTGTGTTGGACCAGGTTATTTAATTGGTTTGGCAGGATTTTCTGGGATCTTCTTTTTAATACAGTCATGAAAGCTGTTAGGCTGTCTTCCTTTTTTTTTTTTTTTTTTTCCCCCAGTAAATATTCGGCTCCAAAGGCTAAAGCTTCATATCCTGGGCAGTGCCAAGCAGGAATGTCACTAAGAGCTTGTTGTCATTTAGCCACTGGGGTCCCATGCAGCACGTGTTTCCTCTGAATGCCTGCCATGGGTCCAAAGCTTTAACTGAAGTGATTCATGTGGTGCACAAATAGTCCTCCTCTTGTTTATTATGTAAATATTGTCCTGAAACTCATCAACAATCGGTAGTGCCACAATACGTAGAACAGTCAGAATTTTAAAATGTTGGTAAACGTTGTGTGTGAGATGTTCCCCTTTTTAATGCACTGGGGAAGCCAAAGAGAATTCTGCTGACAGTGCCCATTCCTCTAAATGGATCTCTTGTTTACTCTTGATCCTGAGAAATCTGCCTGCTGGAGGGAATGGGTCAAGGATCACTAAAACTGCCCCTGCTTTGCACAAGTATTGTTGGACCATAATTTTACCTTCTGTGTCCACCTTCCTTTTGAGCAAAACCAAATGAAGCTGACTTCTCTTGTCACTGAACACTTTCTGAAAGCTGGCTTGGCAAGGCTATAAAACATAAATGAATTAAATTGTATTGGTGTTAATTAAGAGACATAGCCTCAGAAAATGCGCCACTAGGATTTGGTCAGAATAAAGTGGCAGGTTTTTAATAAGACTGCGTGTACAGGTTTTACTTCCATCAGAAAATGATATTTATCCTTTGGATTTTTCATACAGAGTGTTCTGTTAAGGCCACATCCAAAATGAAGTTATAATGGTGAAATATGAGTGCAAATATTGACTTTTATTTTTTATGTGTCTGTTCCAGGCAGAATATGAAATTGCTCCAGATGAAAAGCTGGGAGAGAAAGGAAAGGAAATCATGATGAAATACCTCACCCCAGAGGTAAGGGGCAGCCAAAGTGGCATTACTGAAGGAATGCTGCAAGGCACACCTTTGCTAAACAAGGTTGTTATAGGCTTTGTGAGCCAGACTCCTAAAATTTATGGTGGCAATCTCCAGTGAATAAACCTGCAAGTCTTATTCAAATAGTCAGAGAGGGGAAAAAAATGATAATGCAATCCAGAAATTGACTTCTAAGGATGAACTTGATCTTACCAGGGTCTTAATTCATCTGTGGGCAAGCAGGGGGCTTCTCTGGTTTCTGGGTGTGCGAAGCTCTGCTCTGTGGAGTAATGCAGGGGACCTCAGTGGTACCAACAGATGCCCCAGTTATTCCCTGCCCAGCTCGGGAGTGGTGGTGGCACTGCACGTGCTGGTGTGTGGAAAGGACTGGCAATGCATGCTCTCTTGTAACGCTGCATTTCGGTGCCAAAACTGCCGCTCCTCCCCCAGCAGCGCTGTCCCCAGGGTATCCCGGGACACAGCAGGGTTTGGGGCCGGGAGGTGCTGCCCCCCCTGTGCCCACTGCGGAGGTTCTGAGCGCTGCCCGCCGGGGCTGTGGGGAGCGCTGGAGCTCCCGGGGGCAGCCGTGTCCACAGGGTGGCACTCCAGCCAGAAACTCAGACCCGCCGCTGGAGTTTGGGGCAGGCTGTGCCGAGACCAGCCCTCTGTTTTGGGGCGGTTGCGATCCTTTCCTGACCGCGCTTCACCTTCGCAGCAAAAGTCGCTGCCAGTAAGCAGTAAACATCCAACTTCCAACGCCAGAGCAGTGCTAGGGTTTTTCCTAAGTTGCTTTCGTCAGAGTAATCAAAGCCTCGCAGTTGCTGCTTCGGCCGTTTTACGAGAGAAACGCGTTTGACCTTCAGCAGAATTAATCGCGTTTTTGGCAGATGCCTTTCCAAGAGTTTAAATGGTACAATGTGTTTCGGAGGGGCAGGGGCAGAGCAGACCACTCTTTTTCCAGTCAGTCATTTTCCTACAATAAATTTCGAGGCATAACTTTCGGTTATCTCGGGCTGCATTCTGGGGTCTGGTTTCATTTACTGAGCCTGCCTAGTTTTCGTGTGCAGCCATCGAGCACTGCCAGCACGAGTTCCTGCTGCCCATTCATTAGGGGCATGAAGTTCCACTGCTTCTTAAATCCACCAAAATGGCCTTTTGTTTTAAAACTTCTGTCCACAGAGGAACGAGGGACAAATACTGAGGAAAAATATTTGCCACTGCTCCAGTTCCCATCTGGAAATGGGGAAAGGCATTTTGCTGATAGCAGAGCTAGTGAAGTGAGAGGATAGCACTGCTTCTCTTCAGCCAGTGATGGTGAAGGTTTCCAGATGCCAGAGTCCTTCACTGGCCCTCCTGCCATCCCTAGTGCAGCCAGAAGCACATGGAATAGTTCAGTGAATGTGCAGTGAAGACCAATCTGGGAACAGTTGCTTCTTCATCAGGAAAAAATGGTTACTGGATGGTGAATTGTGTTACAGGAAGGAAAAATACTGGGACTGAAGTATTTTTGAGCTGGAGTTTCCATTCTCTGCCGTGGCCTGTACTTCTTATTTGATCTGTACCTGGTTTTTCAGTATGTAAAATTGGCACAGCATATTTACAGTCAGCCCTGGAACTTTTCTGGTACTAGCAAGTTGCCTTAACAATTTCGGGCAGAAGGAAACTAGATGAGCTCCAGCAGTGCCTTCCAACACTCTCCTTCACGTGTAATCCAAAACTGCCTCCCTGGTGGTGGTGCTTTAATGTCTGCCTTGGTCTTGCTGCACTTTTTCTCCTCAGTGAGAAACTTCTGCTTCTTCCCAGAGCGATGTGTAAGCCCCGTGCAGCACAAAATACTTCCTAGAGGCGAGGTTGACTGTACCATAACAATGGGTTGAATCCTAGATTTTCTAACAGGATTCCCACACAACAAGTGCTTAAAAAACCAGAGCAAGGTCTGGGTTAGTCTGATATTGTTTTAGATACCTGACTAAGGTACTCAGGAGTGCAGATGGCCTACTGCCCTTTCTTGTCAAGAAAGAGAAATAAGTATCTCCAAAGGATGCATTTCAAGCCAGTAGAAGTCAGTGATTCAAAGCCAGGTTAGAAGCTTGCAGTCCAAAGGGGTGAATCTGGACCCAAATACCCTAATGGAGTATCACCCTGGCCAGCAAAGAAACCTTATTTTCATTAGGATCTGCATTTCTCCATTTAGTTATCAGTCTCTTGAAAGACACAAATTGCCACTGATTCCAGAGTCTTCTGCTTTCAGCTGAACACTTCTTTTAAGTGGGTGTATGTCTGTGCTTCAAAGAACCTGATTGTCTTAATATAAAAATAGTGTGACATACAGCTTGACTGATAGAATAAAATTACAGGTTTAGTTCTTGGACAGATAATTCAGTCTTAGAATGTGAGGAGTATTTTTCTCAGAGTGCAGGATCAGAAACAAAATGAAAACAAAAAGTAGACTTCGTGCTCTTTAATATTTATAAACGATTTTTAGTTCTTTCTAAGGTTTTTAAATGTCATACATATTTAACATACAATGTGTCAGTGTATCATCATTCCAAAGTGCATTCATTTGCATAGGGAACGTGAACTTTATTTAATAAAGCAAAGCAGAAAGGAAAAGAAGGTGACATTACTATATGTGATCTTCATGCTGAGGATATGTGAGCATTTTTATGGCTTCCTTAGCAGCTTCACTTGAGTGGTGAGCAGGAGAATGAGAACCCACAGAGGAGTTGTCCTGTAGCTGGACACACCCTTGAAACATTCTCTGAAGAATTGTCCTTTCTCCGTGCACAGAATCAGCCCAGTGGTTGCCACACCAGCAAAGTCAAGGTTTTTTGACTGTAATCTTGCTCCTTTAAGCAATTTGCTTTATGTTTTAACAATTACCATGAAAAAGACACTTAAAGTTGCCTTCTTAATAAGTCCATAAGGCAAAAGTCCAACCCACAGGAAGTCTAAAATTTCTGAGGTTGTGAAATATGATGGTAAAACTGCTAAAATGAATTGGTCACAAGTATTTCGTCTCTGTTTTTTTTCCTAATCTCAGCAGTTGAGTGGAAAAGGTTCAGGTTTAGGTTCCAGTTCTGTCTGTAAGTGACCTCAGTGCTCCATTGAAGAGTTGAGTTAAACTGAACCCAACCTGGCTTCATTACCTGGCTGCTTCTTGTACTGGAAGAGCAAAGAGATATATTTAGCTTTGTACTGCTTTTAAATTATAGCTTTGCATCTCCATGCAGCATTTTTGCCTTCCTGCCTGACAGCTGCCATGCCTTACTCTACTAAATCACTAGCCCACTATTTGCTTTTTCACTGTAAATCACCTTGAGAGACTTTGAGAGACGCTATATAAAACTAAATTGATTTGAAATGGCTCTTAAGACAGTCTCCATATGCCATTATAGTTTATATTTGGACTCAGCTGGGTACTAAAACTGTTACTGAACAGGATGTCTAATGTGTATTGTTATCCCCATTAAAATACTTCACAGAATATGAAGAACAGCAACAGCATTAGTTTTCTTATCTGAATTCCTGTCTGATCTCCTTTCCTCCAGGAAATGCACAGAATAAAGGCCATGTTTGCACTTTCTTTGCTACAAGAGGTTAGCTGGACACAGCAATAACCTCCTTGCTCCAGTCTAAGCCTAGCAATGGGTATTTTGATAAGCAAAAATATGTCTTTGTTTTAGGAACAATTATAGGATAAGGAAGGGAGGGAAAGGTCCCCTGAAAGGGACACTGGCTGCTCAGCAGTGCCTGGCCTTCCACTGGTCTATTGGCTAAAACATGCTCTTCACTCAAATCGGTTCTTTGTGGAGAAGAAAACATCTATGTAACATGGATGAGATGAAATTAAAATGACATCTGAGCCCTCCTGCTGGGCACAGCCACACAGCCCAGTCAGGCTCCTGCTCACAGTCACCCTCTCTCAGCTCTGGGCATCACCAGAGTGTTGGGTTTGCACACCACTGCTTTCATCTTGACAACGAGGATCTTTGCCTTTTGTTGCTTTCTCCTTGAGATTTCTTTCCCCCCTTCTTGTTTTCACCACCAAAATAAATGCAAACTTCAGCAGTTGTGCTCTTGGGTGAGTCATCTCCGCTGATCACTAAATCCTTCCATCTCCCAGAAGGAAAGTTTCATGTATCACTTCTTAATGATTCTGGCTGAAACCTGGAAGGGCAGGTCATACTGGAGCAAGAATTGGATTCAAGTACCGAGACCTTTTCCTCTAACTGTTTAGTTTTGCTAAAAAGCCTTCTAGGGAACACGTTCTAATCAGCTTTTGGAATGGCCAAAACAAAAGCTGAATGTCACTCTTGGGGGGGAAGCACTGAAAGATAGAAACATTAAGCTTCTGTAAAGCAATCTGCAGAGTTTAATAGGAGACAGAAGCCTTGTGTTTTGAAAGGTGAGCCTTCCGGGACCGTTTTCTACGTTGATACCTTTCTCCTACAAATTCAGCTTATATCACTTCTATCCAGAGAGTCATCTCTGTCCCCCTGTAAGCTTATTATCTTGCTGATAAAAGGCCAGCACAATATCGCTTCTCACTGGCTGCAGTGGATGGTCCCTAAAGGCTTTGTCCAAGAGTCATCTCCACAGATAGTTTTCAAATTTTTCTAAACCCTATACATGTCATATGCAGGCAATGAATGAAGTGCCTGTCTGAACACAGTGTGTTACGTGGACTCAGGATGGGCTGGCATTATTTACTAGCTCGAAGCTTGATTCACTGTGCCCTTTGGGTTCCTATTAGGAGACTTTTCAGGATGCTAAATACTTAAGTAGAAATCCTGGCATCGCTTGAGCCAAGGAGAATTTTGCCATTTAATTAATTACCCTGGGACTTCACCCTTTACCTCGATGGATTTCTCGTCTCCCCTTTCTATTGACTTCACTGCTCCACAAGCAGCATTTGAGGCAGAGATGATAGCATTACTTAGGCCTGTGCTTTGCAGCTCACATAATCGATACATAATCCAGTCTCCAGAGAAATCAGT